ATTTATTTCAAACATACTGGGTTTATATACCAACCTGACAGACCACACCGTACCATTAAATAGGAAACAACATTTGTACAAGAATTAGCCTAATGTGGCTGTGAATGAGGGAGGTAGTAATTAATAGACAGGGCATAAGTTAAGAGTGGTAAATCGTGTAATAATAGTTCATAGATCAAAATAAAGCTCATAATTAAAAAGACATGAATGTGAATAGTTTAGTTATTTAACAATTATAAGACAAAAATATACGCATAGTACTGGTCCATAAATGGATCCCAAAAGTTACCATTCATTATGCTTATCGGGACATAACAATGGACATGTCGTTGGATGCTGACGATGAAAATTTGTTATCTGTACACATTTAATACAAAAGTCTCTCTCTTTGCGATGACAGAAAGCTCAACTCGTGTAAACTACCGATTGTTTGGCTAACTCTTGTTGGAAATCCAACAGCAACAAATATTTCTCGAAACATATTCTCCGCCTCGTTGTTTGATATAGACAAGTGGAATGACATGACTGAGTCAATAAAATTTGTGGAACCCTGCTCCTTTGAAGTTAGTAGTTTTTATTCATTTGAAAGCAAGCTCTCGATTGGATTTTGAGAACTAGGTTCTTGATTGGTCTAAGAGTGAGGTAGACATGGGTACTCGAAAATACAATTTCACACCCAGAAAAAGTAAATTTCCGGAGGCGATGCACTAGTATACACCAATATATATATATATATATATATATATATATATATATATATATATATATATATATATATATATATATATATATATATTAATTTATATGTAAGATTTACAATAATGAAATAATACCTATCGAGTAAGTGCGTTGAGTAATCATTGTATGATGTCACAGTGATCATAAAATAATATTGAGTCACTGAAAAAAAGGATTACAGTAATCAAAGTAATTAGTTGAAAAGGTAATAGTTGCACATTGCATAATATATAAAAAGAATTACCTAAAGACTGTATTATAGTAGCTTTGTAGTAATGAAGAGATGGATATTGAGAATATATAAAATAAAATAAGTTAAAAACTCGTAAGTCGTTTGAATATCTTTTCTTAAAAATAAAATGGTTTAATCGAAGTTCAGATGAAATCCACTTTCATATCGATGGGTAAGGTAGAAAGAGTGGTAGTACAAAATTCTTTAGGATGCAAAGGTTAGCTTTGTGAATATGGATTTTGCTAGCTTTAGAAATATGCAAAAGGCTAACTCGTAAATCATACGGTAAATTTGTTGGAATATGGTGGATGACCTTAAAAGTTCTATTCAAGTCGACTTGAAATTCTCTCTCCACTAAATGAATGAGAATAGAACTATTAATTATTTTAACCTGTTCATTTCTCAACCAAGACGGATAGTGTTCTTCTGTTCGATAACAGGCTTACCGAATTGTACATCGCATATAACTGGCTTGATAGGAGTAGTTGAATTGACGAATATACATGGATGTGGTGGACTCAGACAGTTTGTCTTGATTGACAATTTTCAGTATTGAGCGGTTGTAGAAAACCGCATTCAGTTTGGCTGCAGTAAGTATCTTCTACATCACATTTTATAACCTTTGAATTACGATTTCCTCAGTGGCGTCATTTGGGCATTTTAATTTTATGAACAGTACATTTTTCGGAAGGGCAGTTATTTTCGGTCTACTAAGTAGGTTACGAATGATACTCAATTCATCTACAATAATGTCATTAAAGCAAATTCATTCTCTCACGATGAGTCAGAATTCTTACTAAGCTTTATTTATATCTGATTGATACAGCTGTATAGAAATGAGTGTAATGTTCAACTGTAGACTTTCTATGTATCTCTGTTTTTAATGTTTCATCTACTCCTCATGTTACTTGAACGGCTAAAAACAATGTTACTACACTGTTCTTCCTCAAGCGTAAGTATAACAGATGAATATTATTAAATATGTTGAGTAAACTATCTTCATGTTCATTTCCTAATACTATGAAGGTATCATCTACATGGCAATAATAAAATGTTAGATGATTGATTGTCTTGAATTGGCTCATTTTCCAGTTTTACAAGAAAAAGGTTAACCAGAAGAAGCTTTAATGGTGACCGCATGGCTACACCATCTAATCTTCTATAGTATTAACTGTTGAATGAGAAGTGGGCATTTATTGTGCGTCCAAACATTAACTGTTTTATTTCTGATCCAATAACTAAGTTTTCTAGATTATTCCAATAGAAATAAACAGTTTTCAGTAAGAGAATGTTAGTGAATAAGAACGATATTATTGAGTTTTTTTGATCAACCGATTTTTTTTACATTATCAATAAAGTTAAAATAGTCCTTGACATAGTGCTTAGCAATTTCTTTGTACAACAGTTTCAGAATTTGTAGTAACCACTTTGCTCAAGTATGATAGGCTGAATTATTCATATCTAAAACGGGTCAAAGGGGCAAATAAAAGAGATGTTAACATCTAAAGAAATTATAAACCAAGGCTATGTAATCTGACAAAAATACATAAACGTCTGGAAATTAAAGAACACTGAATAGTTGTTTAAATCAAGCTACGTACATAAAAATAGTATACAACTACAACCATTTCAGCAACTAAACGCAGGATATTCATGTCTCTTATTTAATGTATTACATTCGCATCTATGTGTCAAAATGTTATGATACATGCTTTAAATTTTATTCAGCCAGTGATATTTATGTATGTTTTGATAAACTATCTTGAATTTCGAAACATATTACATTGAACAGATTTTTTAAAAATCTACTGTTTTGTGACATATTTCGAACATTTATTGAATACTGTTAAAAAACTGCTTACTTATTTACTTTCTTATGCCTATTACAGAACGTGGAAAAGCATAGACCATCTACCAACATGCTCAATACAACTCTGTCCTGTGTAATCCTTTCCAGTACTTCACAATTGCTATTCATCTTTTTCATGTTTCATTCCAATTCTCGGTGCAGTGTATTCTTTGACCTTCAAATATTCCGTTTACCTTCGAAATTTCAAGTAAGCACTCGCAAAGTGATACAGTTTGATGATTTCCTCAATGTGTGTCCGATCCACTTTCATCGACGTTTCCTAATTTCTTACCCAGATGGAAGCTGATTCGTCCTCTCCCATAGTAGGCTGTTACTGATGGTATCCGACCAATGCACACTCAGTATCTTACATAGAATATTGTTTACAATTGTTTGTATTTCTTTGATGATGGTTGTAGTAGTTCTCAAAGTTTCAACTCCGTATAGTAGAACTATCTTGACTTTCGTATTGAAGATTGTGACTTTGATATTGTTTGACAGTTGTTTTGTGTTCCATATGTTTTTCAAGTGTAGGAATGCTATCCTTACTTTGCCAATCTCACCTTT